GGAATTGAGAAAGAATTTAAAAGGCATTCTCAATTCAGTTCTGAATGCTATATAATTCTGGCCATTACACTGATGCCACTTGTATTCGAATGTCTTTGTTCATGAATGATGATTTGTTGTTTCCAGCTCTTTTAATATCACTTAAGTACTAAACAAGACCTAATGATGACACATAAATTGCCAAAAGACCAAAAGCTTTGACTATGACCATCCATTCCAGACTCTATGCTGGCAATGGCAAGGTGAATGTTTTAAAAGGTGAATGTTATTAAAGGAGGGAAGGAGAGAAGCCTATGCCAGAATCTATAGTTTCAATTACTAGGCAAGACGAAGGAGCAGAGCCAACAGGAAAGGCTTCACTGAGAGGCAATTATTCGTCAAGAACACAGACAGGGGGTAAACAACCGGGCCTGGATGTCAAAAGACAAGAGATGGAGAGAGTGAGAGATGAAGGAGTACAGGAGCAGGCGATCCCATGAGATTACAATGCAGTGACCGTGAAAGTGCTTAAATAAACAGTGTGTGAGAGAGGAAGAGCCAGAGGAGGGAAAAACGGGCACTGGGAAATGGCAAGTACACGAGTAGAGGAAGGAGAGAGAGAGAGAGAGAGAGAGAGAGAGAGAGAGAGAGAGAGAGAGAGAGAGAGAGAGAGAGAGAGAAACTCCAGGAAGTTTTCCACATTTAAAGTAATGCTCATCCATCAAACTAGTCAAAGTAGCGTGAGAAGAAGCTTATTTGAGTATGATAAGGGAAATTTTAAAAACACCAATACATCACCGTCTGTTCTGTCCAACAGATTCAATTTTTAAAAACTGGGTTTGCAATCAACTTTATGTATAACCTAACAAGATGTGCAATACTACATATTTTGAGTAAGTTGAGTAGTTGGACGAACTTGAAAGAACAGGCAGTCTAAACCGGAAGCCCAGGAAAAGGCTGATTACAATAATAAGCCTCAACTAAAATTCAACAAGTCACAAGTTAAATGTCACACACAACAAATTAAAGAGAAAAAACACAAACTATTATTTGATGAACTGATTTGATTTTTCAATCTTATAGATTAAGAGTAGATGTAGATGAATTTATTATACGTCTGGGAATGCAGGCTAAGAAGCATTTCCCATTAATGTTTAATAGTATTCATTTTCGAAAACCTTTATTGTCTTCAAAAGGTTTTTGTCCACTAGCATAGTTCAAATCAACATGGAGGAGAATGATTTTTATTTATTTGGTGGAAGAAAAATGTTGGGTCATCTATTTTGAGGTCATTTTTCTGAGAAAATTCACTAGATTCCAATACATTGGAAGTTTTATCATGATTGTCCAAGGTCTAGGAGTTGTTTCAGCAGTCCAAATGCAGAAAGAGACTAAAGCTGACTGGAGAAAAACCACAACTCATGACCAGCCACTCCAGATAGCAATTACAATCCAAATTGAATCATCCTGAAATCTCCAAGCACTCCAAAATAATTAAATTCTCAGTGGAAAGAGAGGAATGGCATTATAATTAAACTCTTTTGTTCTTGTTTCTCTTCCATCGTTCGCAGGCCCTGTAAATGAACGCAAAGCTAAATGACAGGAGGATTAGATTGGGGTATTAATTTAGGTAGAAAAATGCATTTTTTGTCCACCTTGCCTGAATCCTGCATAGAGTTTCCACTTGTCCATGTCGTTCAATGGAAGAACTGGAGGATTTGGTGAACACACGCAATTCTAAGACGTGTATGCCTGTCAGTCTGTCTCGCCAACACATTGGGGCTTAAAAACAGACAAAGAATCCTCTAAGCAATATGCAGAGGTTAAAGCAAAAAAAAATATTTTGACTGAATTTTTCCTCGGCCAAACTCCATTCCACAGCCATACCGGTCACATACCCAGTTTAAGAGCAGTTTTTTTTCTTCTTGCAATAGTGAGTACATGCTTTACCTACACAAATTAAATACTCAAAGAACATTTGCATTTAAAGAAAGGCAATTTTGAACTGCATTTCTATTATTTACACACTTTCCTTCAATTTTCATGTTTTCAATCTAATGCTTTTAAAAAGTGTGACTCTTTGTGATGTAGTCATACAAATAATTAACCATTTGCATAACTTTCCAACACAAGTTTTAATTTCTCAAATAATAAAAGCCAACAGAGAATGCTTTTGCCGCTTATGAGAGCATTAAGGATCCTGTACATGTTTGCATTTGTTGATTCGTCTACATTTAATGAGAAAGTCTTTCCTTGCAGCTTGACAGACAGTTCTGTTTTAAACTGCGCAGCAATGCCATGTGTGCAGAAGAGGTGGGTGCATTAGAAATTGATCATTTGGAAAGTGCGCTCAGATCGTTAGCAACCGACTTGATTAGCTCCACTAGTGGCTGCGACAGAGTGAGCGGCAGATCTTGTCCAGCTAAGAATGCACATATATTCCCTTTGTGGTCACATACACGGTCAGCCATAGATGCCCGTACCTCGATTGTGGTAGATGCACCAGGCAGGGAGGAGGTATGCTTAAGAGAACGAACGGCAGCTTTGTGTGCGTCTTCTGATTGATGCCGCAGAAGCACTTTTTTGCCTTTACTGCCATACTTAAGTTTTTTTTATGGCAAACTACACACATACATGGACCTGGCCGTTTCATTTTTTTACACCAGGATCAGAGCGAGCAGCCATCCTCTCCAGTTTCTTCAAGCCAAGTCCATCTCTATTTGTTTTTAACGGACTTGCCGATGAGTGACACATCCATTCTGAACCTTCCTCCAAAAGCAGCATGTCCATAACTGACATGCTTGCTTAATACGTAAACTCTTGTTCTTTAACAAGGCTGATTAATGCGTCCCTCTCCCGCCACCACACAAGTAGGCCTGTCGCAATAATCAATATATCGACTTATAGCGCAATATATGTACATGACCTCAATTATTTTTGGTGACCCAATATATCAACCATTATATTTTTTTTAAAATGTATGTCACTGTTTTTTACATTCCACTTGTGCCTGTGTCTTTTGCAGCTTATCGAACATAACATGGTGTAGTCAGGATGAGGTGCTAGCTCAAATTTAAAAAATGCTTCTACAAAAAAATAATAAGTTTCACCTGCAGATATGATCTTGTTTAGGGATCTGTGCCTTTGTGCATATGGACATCTGACTGATAAGTAGTGATCGAGTTTTTCAGCAATACAGTGGCACCCTTAATTTACAGAGAAAGAAGATCAGGGAAAAATCTGTAGATGGAAAAATCTCCATACACTTGTGCATCTTTGTGCATTTTTCTTTTTTTCTACTTGTTACTTTACACTTTGTTAGAAAATATTTATTTACTATTTATTCAAGTTTTTTAAGGTATCTAATATTTTGATACTTAATTTCCATGATCCAAATATTCTTAAAAATTAAAAGTTTGTTGTCATTTGGAAGTGTGTAGGTCTTCTTGCATTATTATGCGGTTACATTATGATTATATATTCAGTGGCATAAAATGGTCTTTACAATGACAATAATATCGCTTATCGCAATTATTTCTGGGGCAATATATCGCACAACAAAAAGTTGTTATCGTGACAGGCCTACACACAAGCGCACTTCTGACCAATCAGATGTGATTGTATGGTTAAGAGCCAGCTGTTTCGGTGGAATGACTGCATATCATTGAAATGAATAGCTGAGCCGGCAGAACAACAACAACAACAACAACGCGCTACATGTTTCTTTTCTCCTCATTTTTTTCCAAACGACGGATATCCGTCGTGGCGACGGAAAACTTTTAAGCCCTGAGCATGGATCTCAGAAATCAATCTAATGCAGCTCCAACCAGCATGTATAAGTAAGACTGCTTGGGGCAAAGACTCCCATCTGTAGTTTTTTGACAGGACCTGATGCTATTTTTTTGTTGTTCCTAATGGTAAACTAGCAAATACAAATTAATTAATCACACAGCAAGTTGATTAACCTACAAGCTGGTTGCTATTTTTTTGTTGTTCCTAATGGTAAACTAGCAAATACAAATGAATTAATCACACAGCAAGTTGATTAACCTACAAGCTGGTTGAAGTAATGTTAATAAATGTTAAAGAATTACTTTTTTTTTTTTTTTTCACAGGGGGGCAAAAATATTTTGTCAGCCATTTTGTCTCTCATAGTTGAGGTATACCTATGATGAAAATTACATTTCATCATAGGCCTCTCTCATCTTTTTAAGTGGGTGAACTTGCACAATTGGTGGCTGACTAAATACTTTTTTCCCCACTGTATATGACTAAGCTACCCAAATTTCATATTAAAAAGAGGAGGATTTTAAAAATAGCTTTTATATTAATGTTTGTCTATTTCTCAACAGCATTTCTTTTGCCTCCTGTATTCTAGCATAACTATTTGCAGACTAGACTATTTGCAAGACTATTTGCAGAAAAGCAAAATGGCGACCTACACATTGGGAGATGAAGTAAAACCACATCTTGCAATCCTTTACCACAGCATTATGAGTTCATAAGTATACATGAGGAGGTTCAACGTCTCCCTCTCACCTCAGGACAAGAGAACAAAAGACACAAACTAAAATTAGGGCAATCATCTCTGATAAATACAGTCTTTAGCCTGTCAATGTCCTCATAAGAGGCCTGCAGTTACAGATATTTTTATCAGGGCTAACCCACCAGTACAATAACAGACTTGCACATAGTCAGCACAGGCATACGACAACAAATGAACATGGACACACATGCACAGTGTTCTCTGTGGTGATTCTGCACCTTCGCTTATTTTGCGGTTTAATAAAGACGCTGACACATCTGACACAGGATCAGAGTAAATGATTGGAGCAGTCCAAGATGTGACCTCCTATGGCCTTTAGGTCAAAAGAGTCCATCTTCTTATTCAATATCAGAGTTAGTAATGTAAATCCAGCAAAAGAAAGCTCAAAGGGACGGAAAAGTAATCAAATTATTTACTGCTCATCCTTTCAGGTTTATATGTTAGTCTGTGTGGATGCAATCATTCTTTGACTTACAGTTTTTGCAGCTGTGATGATGTACTGAAGGACCATCTCCCTTTTTGTGCTCAGGTCCTTCTCTCTGAGAGGTGCTTTCTTCTCTTCATTAAGATTCATATCCTCCTGAAAACACACATGTAAAAGGAAAAAGTCTTGTTACAAGATAAATCCTTTTAAGTTCTTCAGTATTGTGACCTGCTTTATGAGAATCTCCATCATAATGACAAGACCTTTGACCCAAACACAAGGGTCTATCAAATCAAATACTAATTCAACATACTGTATTTTTGCTCAAAAGAAAATAGCACTGAAGATGCTGGTTGTAAACTTAGCAGAGAACAACAAAGAGCTCTTGCATCTTTTAATTTCAATGCTCACATGAATCAAATCATGCCTAACACCTGTTCTTTTTGGAACTGCAAATAAATGAAACCGCAGGAAGTCAACCTCTGCTTGTGAATCCATCAGGCAGATATGTCTTCCCCACATCTTATGACATTAAGAAAAAGAAAAGGAGATTAAAATGACAAAAACATAGAAAGAGTGATAATTCATGTTAAATATGCCAAAGGAAAAAAATAAAAGCATCTTTTATGCATCTTTAACCCTTACAGACCGAAGTACTGACTTTCATCATGTATTTTTCTTTTATTGTTTAACATGTCTTTAGAAAGCCATTAGTAATAAAAACCCATGTTGTATCAGGGTTTAATTTGGGGGGAAAAAAAACGCTGGGCTTTTAGGGTTGCAAAATTTGACCACCTAATGCTCATCATTGCATTTTTACTACACTTAAAAATGGTCTCAAATGTAGTCACATTCAAAATTTCAGGGCATGTAAGCCTTTTCCCATCACTACACACCCCGTCTAGAATTTTTAACACTTTAATCAATTAATATGTCTCAAAGGTGTTCCAAAAGGACCCCGTTTTTGTGTGGCTAGGTAGCTGTGGCAGTTACTACGCAATTTTTTTACCACCAAAATTATTGTAATATATTTCAGTGTCAGCTACTGTTGTGTAGTTTTTACATATATTTAGCGAAGTTTAGGTATTTTTTAAATTTGTTTTAAACAAACGTTGCAATTCTGCTGCTATGCTGAGTCTCTGAGGGTTAAAGCTGAATCTAAAAATATCCCCTAGTTTGTGGCAGGAGTCATTAAGTGTTTTTGATGAAACACTTTAAAAATTTAAATCGATAATGAATAAAGGGCCATTTTTGCTCAATTGTTATATGATTGGCTATTATAAACATCTGTTGTCTATGTGGACAAATTTTGTATGCAGTTTTGGGAGATCTTTTGAAAATTAGTACCTAATACAAGCCTGACTGATGGAAGTCATGAATTATGTACTAGAAAATCTAATGGGCCAATTTCTGAAAAGATTAGAAATTACCAGTGAAACAGAAATGAGCATGTTCATAAATCTGAACCTGTGTATTGCTAAGACAGACATTGGCAGATATATTTGGCAATTTTACTTCCCAGATTACTGAAGCAACACGTCCTGTGCCAAAACAAACTAGCGCGCTGCACTTCTCAAACTCACTATCTCTGACAAAGACGGAAACTAGGGTGCATCCGTTGACAGTTTACAACTACCATCAACAGATAGAAAGGGCATGGAAATCTCAAGGCAAAAAGAACAATAAAATTGATAAGAGGAAGCAAAAGAAAGAGAGAAATAAGAGAGAGAAAGACAATAACGGCAACAACAGATGTTGAGTACAATAGTCCTAGTGTCTCCACCTCCAGTCTTATTTCCCTTAACCCACAGCGCTCTCCCTTTCTTCCCGTTTCTGAGATGATAGATCAGCAGAGCCGTTTAGGATTTCACTGATGAGTTCGCAGGCGTGATGCAGTCCTCGTGTGTCAGAGAGAGAAAAAGAGAAGAGGATGCTGGGATAGGTGAGGATAGGGCGCAGAGTGGAAAGGCATCTGTTACCACCGTTGGCCCTGTCACCTCTGCTGGCATTCTCATGTATCCAAACTCGTACTTGCCGTGACTAATGACTGCGTCTCTGCCCACGTTATCCACACTCTTCCTTCTCTACCCAGCAGTAGCTGCTCCTGTCACTCAATCCTGCGCTCCGAGATGCTGCTCAACTGCCAACACCACCTCCACTCTTAGAAAGGGCACTGACGGGGACCTCCATACGATAGCACTAACGCAACGGAGGACTGTGCAATTTTTTAAAACGATACTTGTGAGAAATTTGATGAAACGGATGTGCTTGAGATTAATGTGTGACAAAAGTCCAACGGAATTCAGTTAACTTTCAACAGCTCAGAATTGTGTTGATATTGAAAAGTTTTTTTTTTTCAGAGAAGGTCAAAAAAGTTTGTAAAGTAAAATTTTACATTTAAATTAAAATACATTAAAATTAATTTCCAGTGAACAGGTTTTCTACAAAATTATTTTTGTTATAAATGCTTATTAGATATGATAATGTGCAAGTCCAAATCAAAACTATATTGTAGGGATTATTTTATTTTTGTGTATTTTCTTTTATTTACCACAACAAACTAAGCTGCTTGCAAACATTTGTCAGTGACCGTATGATGTGTGTCCAATACGTGAAAGTGAGTAAGTGTTTGAGTATGTGTATTTATAGGCATGAGGGCCTCGTCTTACTATGAATACAAGCTGATTGAGGTCAGTGACCCATAACAATCCATTTCATTATGAAAAGGTTGCGTTTCCTCAAAACATAATTGCAAATAAACCTCTAGTGATTATTGTGGTTGAAAGGTTGATAAAGGTCACCGAGTAGGAATAATAATTAGCTGGTTTTATACATGTCCACAGTAAGTAGACATGTGTACAATAGCATGAATGCAGATCAACAAATCCCTCACTCTCAGATAATGTTTATTTCTATTTATGTTTCACAACAAAATAGAAGTACTTTTTTGTCTACAATTACATATCTTACCATCATTTTCTCAAAGAGGGCAAGGATTTCCTTCTCTGATGTAATCTTTGAAGAAAGCTCCTCAAATTCAGAGGAAGTGGACCAGTCACCAGAAGAGGAATGTTTTGACATGTGGGAGAGGGGTGGCCGTTCCTTTTTACTGCCAGGGATCCGGATACTGGAAAATCTGTCCAGCTAACAGAAAGATGAAACATTTGTGAGAGTATGAGTGAGATTGGCTCAGTGATAATGATTAGTCTGTTGATTTTTTTCTCCATTTAGGTAAACATAGCCTACCATTCAAAACTCTGGGGTAAGTCATTTACAATGTTACATTTCAAATAAATGCTGTTCTTTTGTTCATCAAAAAATGCTGATCCTGAAATCTTGAAAAAGGTATCACAGTTTCCACAAAAACATTAAGCAGCACAACTGTGATGATGATGACAATGATGACGATGATGATGATGATGGGAGAGGGGTGGCCGTTCCTTTTTACTGCCAGGGATCCGGATACTGGAAAATCTGTCCAGCTAACAGAAAGATGAAACATTTGTGAGAGTATGAGTGAGATTGGCTCAGTGATAATGATTAGTCTGTTGATTTTTTTCTCCATTTAGGTAAACATACCCTACCATTCAAAACTCTGGGGTAAGTCATTTACAATGTTACATTTCAAATAAATGCTGTTCTTTTGTTCTTTCTATTCATCAAAAAATGCTGATCCTGAAATCTTGAAAAAGGTATCACAGTTTCCACAAAAACATTAAGCAGCACAACTGTGATGATGATGACAATGATGACGATGATGATGATGATGATAATAATAATAAATGTTTCCATGAGAACTAAATCAGCATATTAAGATTTCTGAAGGATCATGTGACACAAAAGACCGCATTAAAGACTGCTGAAATTCAACATTTTAAAATATATTAAAACAGAAAACAATTACTTTAAAATAACATTTCACAATATTAACGTTTTTGTATTTTTTTGCATTTTGCTAAAAATGTACTTTTAAAAAAAACGTAAAAATGTAAAAATTATTATAAATATTACACTACAAAAATAAATGTTTCACACACAAAACAGCTTAAATCACTGAATTATAAATAAAACAAAAGCACAAAATGTGTTAACTGGCAAAAACACACATTCCCTCATATTGCATTACTAATTTTTTTCATAATAGAATTATACAGCATTATTAATAAATTATTATGATTAATAACATCATATCATTAGACCCCAACCGATATGGGTTTTTTGGGGGCCGATACCGATACCGATACCAGGGGAAAAGTTTAAAAAAAAGTCACAAAAAAATGTTTAGTAAAAAAAAAAAAAAGGCCGATATCGATATATCGCCCAATATTCTTTGTGTATATTATAGTACAGTACCAGTCAAACATTTGGACACTTTCCCATTCGTGTGTCTAAACATTTGACTGGTACTATATATAGAATACAGTATATACATAAACAGAATATATATACACAAACACATTTTTTGCAATGATCACTCAAATGTGGTGATCAAACACTTATAATGATGTGACAAAGATATGTAATTGAGGCAGGGCATTTAACAATTTAACAAACTTTATTATCCAAAATGAGTCTGACATCAGTGCACTGAACAGTAAAGCTGAAGTTTATTCTGTTTAAATTTATTTCACTTCAGAACATTCATTCACAGATAAGCGCTACTGTCTTCACACGCATACGAAACTTACTAGAGAAGTGTGACAGTTATATATCTCAGTAAATAAATACTATAAAATTCACGTCTCGCGCACTTTAATGCCCTTTGAATGTAACGTGTGCGTTCCCTTGGAACTGGAATCATGGCGGAATATCATGTGAATTCCACTTTGCAGGGCACTTACAGTCGAATAAGACAACGCTTGAATGCTGCTGCCTGAACTAGAGACATCATTACTGAAGTAAAAGTGTTGGCTGGTGTCACTATCTCGCGAACGCGGCGGTGGATCGCCACCAAACTCGGGGGATCCCTTCAGCTCGAGGAGCCCTCTCAAACGCCACCCTCCGTGTGTCGGTACCCGATCACGAATATAACCGCCCGTAACTCCAGGACCCCGGGGGCTATCGACACAGGTGTGGTCTCATTCGAAAGGGGGCCTAGAGACGTATACTCGATTCGGTGTTCAAGAGGGTTCCTCGAGCTGAAGGGATCCCCTGAATTTGGTGCGAATTCTCCACGCCGTTACGGAGATACGGCCGTTCAAAGTTTCAATAGTATTCCATACACTTAAGCTATAAAGAGTTTCATCCAGGTCGCCAGTAGCAAACAATGCTAAGTTGTCTCTGCTGGACAAACTACATAATTACACCATTTTATCTGCGTTTTATGTTCTGTAAAAAAAAAAAAGTCATATCGTCGGCATATTCGCTGATACCGATATATCTACGACAGGCTCATATCGGCCGATAAAATCGGCAAAACGATATATCGGTTGGGCTCTAATTATCATTATTATTACTACTAGCCTACATCCCCAAAAGTTTTTCCATCACCATTATAGTTCTGCAGTTGTGAAGACTATAATAGAGCGGCACTGCACAAACTAGTCAAACATGCAGAATGTAATTTGTGCTGATAGTTCTATGGACTGTTGATGAGGTTAAAACTTTGCAACAAGGCAACAAATCTATAAGGTAGAGTGGTCTTGTACATACCATCTAAATGGCCTCAAAAGACCAGCCTGAACTGAACAGAAGTTCAAAAGTTTTCAGATCTTTATCAAACACCCACCATAGCCCTGTTAACTTTGTTTATCAGTTATAGCTTCCTTATTGTAAGCAGACTTTCATTAGAAGACTGTCAGCTTCACATTCACCATGCCTAACGAACAGAGTGTCCAGGGAGACAGTGTAACTTGCAGTGTAAATTTATATCGAGGTGGTGGGCCCCTGCATCACACAGATAATGATTTCCTAATTGGATTAATTTATCAGAAAGCGGTTTTCTCTCCCTCAGCCTGTGAGCGCAACGGGGAGAAGATGGGCGATTGAGATGTCAGCGTTGGCTGAAAAGCTGGGTGGTTTATTTTCAGGGGCCTTGCCCCCTTTCTTTCGAGGGGCGGGTGAATTAGCAGCAGTTATCTTCGAGAATATTTTTCACTGACGCCACCCCATTGCACATTATCTCAGTGAGAAGGAGAGCAACACGCTGAGATAATCAGCAATGACACTGATGTAAAATTAATTAAACACAAGCAGTAGATCAGAGTGTAGCTAGCGACTACAGTGCACGGAGCCAATGCAGGGAGCAAATGCGTGGTGTGTGATACCAAACGACACCATCATCTGTCTAATTTGGTTTGCTGCAGCCCTAAAGCGTCTCTTTGCTACATTGAGTGATGGCACTGATCAGTTTAATCACAGAGATTCATCCCCAGTGGAGGGAAGAAGCGATTTGCTATTCTACACTTGTTACCGGTGAATAGATAAATAAATATGTTCAGCCGCTACCTCAATAACAACAACAGGCATCATACTGCAGCCGCCGCGAACTGATCTAGATGATGAAGTGCTTTTCAGGGCTGTTTAGGTGTTTATGAGTGAGTCTGCACCTTACTTTCATGTAATCTCTCTCTCCCTTTCTCGACAACAGACACTTTGATGTTACTAATGGCACCATTCCCCTCCATTCCTCTTCTGATCATTCCACCAGACCCCTCTTCAGTAATTCAGCCTCAACACCAAAATGCATTTCTACCATGAACAAACATTAGCCCTCACTTGGAAAAAAAAAACCTCCATTATCTAAGGACATGATTCACTCATCGAAAACATGTCCTACACCATTCTGCAATCCCACAAAGTCCAAAGAATACATCTGTTAATTTTACTTATTCACCATTTGTCATTAAAAGAATAGTTAACTCAAAAATAAAAATTGGGTGAAAACATACTTACCCTCAAGCCACACAGGATTTACAGTAGATGAGTTGGTTTGTTCATCAGAAAAGATTTGGAGAAATTTAGCATTACATTACTTGCTCACCAATATATCCTCTGCAGTGAATAGGTGCAGTCAGAATGAGAGTTCAAACAGTTGATAAAAACATCACAATAATATACAAAAACTTCAGTCCATCAATTAACGTCTTTTGAAGTGAAAAGCTGTAAGTTTGTAAGAAACAAATCCATCATAAGGCATCTTTAAAGGCAACTTTAAATTGTTGCTTCTGGCCAAAACACGAGTCCATAATCCATAATACTTCCTTCAGTGAAAAAGTTTTCCCGTTGTCCTCTCACAACAGAATTCATAGACATGTGTTTAGGACATTTGTTTTCTCATGAAAATCGCATACAAATCATATACCGTCATAATCGCGTGCGTATTAGCTTCATGTTTCATCCGTGGAAATGTTTTCCTGGGTTTCTTATGTACAGAACTGAACGCAGAAGTGAAATGGATGTTCGTAATCAGAGACAGGGCAGGATATGAACTAGGGTTGGGCCATTTTACAAGATTAGATGTTTGTCAGTGGTGCTCAGTATCTGCAAATCATTCGCCATCGTCCTATCAGTCATCTCTCCTTACTCGGTGTATGTGGTAAGTGAACTTTCATGTACTGTAATGTAACAGTCTACCGATAGCAAACGGCTAACCATGTCCCTTTAGTGGCTCCGTAGAACGCATTATTTGTTTTCCATGCATTTCTGCAAACGAATTCACGCGTCGGGCACACCTCCTAACCCCGCCCACCGATGTCATTGTCCATCACGATGTTTCACTGTAGACATCGCCGAACCCTAATATGAACACATAATATGATTGACATATGAGCAGCGAATAAGCTTCCTCAGAGTCAGAACAGCGATCACAGAAGAGAAAAACATGTTAATTTATGGACAAGAGTCGTGTGGATTATTTGTCAATTATTGTGATGTTGTTTTTATTAACTGTATGAAATCTCATTCTGATGGCACCCATTCACTGCAGAGGATCCATTGGTGAGCAAGTGATGTAATGCTCAATTTCGACAAATCTGTTCCAATAAAGAAAAAACTCATCTACATCTTCGATGGCCTGAGGGCGAGTATGTCTTCAGAAAGTTTTCATTTTTTGGGTGATCTGTTTCTTTAAATTTGTTTTTCTTCATTGCATTCATGCATCCAGTCTATAAATCTGCTTCTCAATCCTTATAACCATTCATTCATGTGTTTATTCAGGACCACACCTTTGGGGTTCATGTGCATGATAGATAGAGAGAGAAAAAGAGTGTCCCAGCAGCATCTACCTCATCATAATCCTGATTTCCCTGTTCTACCTTCCCTCTGGCAACT